GTGGCGGCCATTTACAAGATATTTTGTTTCATACATAATTCCCAAATGTATATTTTCTAAATCAATAAATATTTCAATACTTTGCTACAGAAAACCATGTTTTCTTGAACACTGAAATCTTGCTTTTTTATTGAAACACCCTGTATTATAACTTTAAGAAATTAAGCTAGTAGCAAAAGGTAAATGGAATCTAGTTGCCTTAATAATTGGATTTTACTGTATCTATGGAAACAAAAGAGCTGTTGTGTCAACTACTGATCAGACGTAATAATCGCAACTTGTGTACAATTTGAAGGAACGGTTGACAATCGTACATACATCAGCAAAATGGACGACATATCGAACATTGACGGTAACCATGGGCGTACGCAGCTTTTGGTCTAGGGAGGGGCAAAAAATAAAATTGGCGGAAGGAAAATGTTTAATGAAACACATAATAGGTATACATTTTTATTTTTAGTAGGTAATAGTTACTAAAAACGTCTACAAAATTATGATATCTCAAAATATTAGTTATTGCGGCTTTTATATCAATCAATTTTGTATTAAATATGCAAAAGAAAAACACGGGGCGAAAATAGATAGGTAAATATAAAGGCCATTTCGGTATATCGGAAGAATTTTAGGCAAATCGGTAGATCTACCACTGCACAGTGGTTTGTGTTAACGCAGGTGCCGGTGTACCGAGTAATCCAATGGGCATGGGAACAGCGATTTACGGGATCGGTACCCTAATTTATAGCTTAAAACCTCTTTCATTGCTTAAATCTCAAAGGAAAAGGTTTTGAATTAAAAGCCAACAAAGACAATTCTTACAGATATTTTTTAACAAACACAAAACGTAACCTGTGGCCAGGCCAAGGGGGGCAACTGTCCCCCCCCCGTGCCCCTCCCTGCGTACGCCCATGACGTTAACCACTGGTGGACATAGGAATTCCCATTATTTAAGAAATCGATTTCATTTAACATTCTGTTGTTAACTTAGTTTGTTAAAAATACATAATAATCTGAAATATATCCCTTACTTTATGATAACCTTGTAGGTATACAATTTTTTAATATATATAGTCACATGGCCATTTTAGTGTTTACTTTCTTAAGATGCAAAATTCTGAATCGACACAAATTGTTAAAATGTTCGTTTGAAAACTATGCCCACAACAGTTCCAAAATTTACGGTTGCCTTTAGGTAACTTTGGCTCAGAAACTGTGCATGTGGTTGTGAGATTTTGTAATAACCTTATCAAGAAAAAAGGTTGGTACTGGCATGGCAGTCTGATACACCATCAATATCCATGGATAAAAATGGGTGATTTTAGACTTCCATGTGCAATGTGCATCTTCTTGCGATTTCGGTTCAAACTGATTTGTAATTTTTTTCAAACCCAAGACAGTATTGTATTACTGAATAAAAGAACAGAATAAGACCGGCATATGTCTGCATCGTATACTACCCTGCATCAGTGTAATTACATAAATGAAATGCAATTACCATGCATGCGTGCCTACTTAAATACAAACCGCAGGTTTGCAAACCACTACTATTAGCACTTGTAGGTATGTCCATAAAAAATAGACATTGGAGAAATTAGACTAGTTCACTTTTGCAAAAAAGAGCTCTACTGCAATGTTAAAATGTTTCAAGTGAAACATTTCGTTGTACTATTTTTGGCAACATCTCTGAAATATTCATAATGTAACATGTACCTCAAAAAGGTGTTACTTTTTCGTGCACAATCAAGCACAAACGAAGCACAAACGATTGGCGCAAAACATTTCGTATGTGCTTCCATTACCGTGCTAAGTTCGTTGAATTCCATGCGTACAAAAATGCAAGCCGACGCTTGTCAGCGCAGCTTGAGAATTGAGTTGAACTATTCTGATAATTTCAATCTAAAGTGTAGGTGATAAACTTATACACACAGGTTTTATGACAAAACGATAATTAAATAGGATTTGAGATAGCCTATCTTGTGGTAGCAACAATTCAACTTCAACTTTTTAAATGGAATAGGTACGCGAAAAGAAACCCCGAATAAGCGGCTCTGACAAATGTGCGAGCATTATGTTCTTTTTAGCGCATTTCCACAAAAATAAAAAATGCGCTATTGTGTCCGTCCGTCGGTTTGTTCGTCCGTCTTTCCGTCCATCCGTCCGTCCGTCCGGTCGCTACTAGTTCCTTATCTTAAGAGCTATTCTACTTTTTTCGCCATTTGGTTCGTTATGGTGTCGAGACTTGCACCAAGAAAGGAATTTTTTCTGCGCCGCTCAAGAAAAAGTTATGGCAAAAAATCTATTTTTTTCATGTATCATAATTGTACACTTTTGCCGTTTGTTAACGATTCTCTAGATCGTTTATAATGCTGTATCGCCCTCTGGCCGTCTGTCTGTCTCCGTCTGTCCACCCGTCTGTCTTTTGTATTTGAGCAATCTAATTTTCATGTTTCTTAAGATAGTCAAATGAAATTTTGTATCTGCGCACCTCGAATAAAGGTAAAGTGAATGCCAAACCAAAATGTTTGTTTTGCGCATGCGCAATCCGATTTTTTTTTATTTGTGAAGATATTTAAATGAAATTTTGTATGTAAGCGCTTCCAATAAAGGTAAAACTAATGCCGAATCAAAACATTTTTTTGCGCATGCGTAATCCAATTTTTTTATGTGTTAAGATATTTAAATGAAATTTTGTATGTAGGCACCTCGAATGAAGGGAAAATCCGTTCCACTAAAAATACGCAAAACAATTATTGCGCACACCCAGACCCACGTACATTGGTTATTTGCAAGGTTATTTGTAAACTAATTCTTCTAACATTGTTGAGTAGGATTCTTATTATAAACTGAAAATGAAGTAGCACGTCAAAAATGGTTTGCACATATGCAACGCTATCTTTCTTATTTTAGTGGGAGCGGCTCGTGATAAATATTGGTATTATTCGGCATTTCGTATTAAAATTGTGCCACTTGGAACACATGTTCCCTAGGCCTATTGGAGTGACTTGAGTCGCAGAGCCGGAAGTTCCGTCCCTTAGGATTGAAAATGGCGCCAATTTTTAAAATTCCAGGAAATATATGTTTTTAGAGCGATTTTTACGTTAGGGGTGACGTTTACGAGGTTTCCGACGGCGAATATGACAAAAATAATATCCAAAGCTAATTTCTGTGTGGGAAGCATGTTTCATTTATCATATATAGGCCTATTGTATGTCTTTAACGTCCGACAAGATTCAAAGGTTTTGACCGATTTTCGTAGTTGAGGTGGCGTTTCTGAGATTCTTTTGGGTGAAGATTACCAAAAAAGACCCATTAAAGGCCTTTTTTTATGAAATTTTTTGTATTTTGAATAAACAGATCGATGTTAACTAAGTGCAAAACTGAAACTGATTCGTTGATACCTGTTTTTAACTAAAAATTGTTGATTATTGAAACGTATTTACAAGTAAAAAGTCATCAGTCATCAAAGGGAAATGCCTCATCATCACTCAGATCTCCTGTTGCAGTCGAGCTATAAAAAATATTTAGTTAAAATCATTAAAAATAAAACGCTGACAGTCATATTTATAATAAGCATGTACAACATAATACTCGGCTGCGATTTTTGCAGTGTTCTTGGCAGTTAGAACTCTGTAGGGCGCAGAGAAGGCTGTTTCGTAAGCATGAGCACCTCATAGCCTTACACGTTGACTTGCAGCCGCATTTTCCTACGATTGAGAACGCTTTCCCTTTTATGGGATACAATTTACGCAAGAAGAGGCGGACGGGCGAATCATCCTCCATGCGAAAGATATGGTGGAGCATGGAGCCCAGAACATCCTCGTCCAGTCTTGAGATACTGACGTTCTGATGGTTATATATATTTTGTTTTTTTTTTCTGAAAGAACTCGGACTGAAAGAAGGATATCTGTCAGGTGTTGGGGCCAAGCGTCGATATATAGCGACCCATTTGATTGTATTAGCACTTGGAGAAGAAAATTCACAAGCCCTACGGGGCTTTCATTGTTACACAGGTTGTGCCTCAACGCCCTGCTTCCATTCTATTGGAAACAAGAAGGCGTTTATTATGACTTGGATGAAACGCCCGGACGTGACACCAGCTTTACTTGAACTCTCCAATTCACAAAGAGGAATAACAGAAAAAACAATTAAAACTTTGGAAGAATTTACTACCGTTCTCTATGACCCCGAAGCACAGAAGAATCTACTAATGTGGGAAAATATTTATTTTGTACCAAAAATAAATTACTGCAGTACCTGTCCCCAATCAAGCAGGTCATGTGTTGTGGGGGCACTGCTTCTATCCTACTGAATGCCCTCCACATCCGTCAACTTGGGGATGGACACGAGGCAAAGTGGGCTGGGAACCAAACTGGACCAAATAGGTGTAAATATGAAAGGAGCTCACAATCCTAGGGAAATGCGGCTGTAAAGTGAACTTGTGAGATCATAAGGTCTTCATGCTTGCGAAACAGCCTTCCCTGCACCCTACAGTGTTCTAACTGTCAAGAACACTGCAAAAATCGGAGCCGAGTATATATGTACATGCTTATTTTATAAACATGACTGTCAAGAGTTTTATTTTTAATGATCTTAACTAAATATTTTTTTATATCTCGACTGCAACAGGAGATCTGAGCGATGATGAGGATATTGCTTTTGTCGTTTTCGCCCTCGTAAACGTCACCCTAAACGTAAAAATCGCTCTAAAAACAGATATTTCCTAAAATTCGCCTCAATTTTGAAAATTGGCGGAATTTTCAATCCTAAGGGACGGAACTTTCGGCTCTGCGACTTAAACCACTCCAATAGGTCTAGGGAACATGTGTTCTAAGTGGCACAATTTTAATACGAAATGCCGTTTGTTCTCACGGGCCGCTCCCACTATTTGTGGCCGGATTTTTACGATTTTAACAGAAGTTGCACGTTACATGGGAAATGAATGCAAGTGGAAATGCGCTTTTTCTAAACTTTTTTTGGTATTTATAAGACTGCTATTTTTCCAGGACTGGAATGGCACCGAATCTTATAGGAACCGCAGCCCTATTTCTGGCTGAAACCACATCAGAAGATACAGTAGTACTTACTGCAAAACCATCAACTCGCCACCAACAAACGCAGGTTATAAGACAACCCTTGAAGAACAATAAACCAAAGTATAGATGGACAGTGGTTTGGTCAAACGTACTCGCATTTTTGTATCTGCACGTTGGCGGCCTATACGGTCTCTACCTACTTTTCTTTGGATGTTCATGGAAAACCTTTCTATGGAGTGAGTGAATATGATACTAATTTACATCAAATGATGAATATGTCTGTTTTTTTCAAATTGCTTGTAATATTTTCAAGAGTACCTACTATAATGAAATTAATAACTTTTGGGAGTGTCCTTGTGGATAATCACTGCTTTTATTACATTTTCATAACACTAACTTTTTAAACCTCTGCCATTTATTTAAACTAGTTTGTTAAGTTTTCGTTAAAATTCATTGTTTCTTAGTTATATAGTACGTCGTCAATGGTAACATCCTTTATTGTACCGTAATTGAATGTTTTTCAGACAAACACAGTTAAGGCCGGTATATGTCAAATAACGGACGAGGTTGAATTTTGTAAACCGAGGCTTTATAAAATCAACCAAGTCCGTTATACGTATATCGGGCGAATTACCTACGTTCAGTCGTTTTCATAATACCTACGAAAACAACCCAATTTCAAATTTAGAAAATCCAAATAAAAATGTACATGTATATATTTGAGAACGGTTTAATAGTTTTAGAGTATCTATGATTATGATTTGTTTGTTTAAAAACATGATTATTTTATTAGTTGTAGGTACACACTTGGCACAATGCCACTAACTTTATACCAAGTAGGTATAAACAATCACTCCGCTGGACCCCATCACTATGAGTCAATTTAAGAGTTGTATCCAATTGAGGGCTCGTTTAAATCACTAGAAATCTAAACTTTATTATGCGGTGGTTGGGTCCAGTTGGATTCAGCCCTCCTCCCACTGATTAGAATTACTTATTTCAAATTAAATTTTGTACTGGAGTAACAAGTAGATATAATCGTTAAGGCGGCCAGGTCCACCTGGACATAGCCCCTCCCCTGTTTTCCTTCTCAAATTAATTTTTATGCATAAATTGTGAGTTGTATAAGAGCTTTCGTTTACAAGCAATTGCCATTTATACAGGCAATCACTGTTCCTGAGTATTAAGCGCATCATTTTTTTAATCCACATTATGGATACTACTTTCATAATATCGGTTTAATATGTTTCAGGATATTCTCTAGGTACACGATGGTGATATGAGATTTTCAATTGGACGATTTATTTCAAAATGGGCACTTTCAACTTCTTATTTCAATGAAATGCCATCATTTTTTTTATTATTGAGATCCTAAAAACTTTCTTTTTGCGATGGTATTGCGTTTTTCTTAAAAATTCATCTTTTTCCCTAACAAAAAATAAATTAACATTTTAATCTAGCAGCGCATGAATGCTCTACACTCGATGATACAAAATTGAGAACGTATGCGATTTATGGTGAAAAACGACCTAACTCGAAAAAGTACGGTATTTTTTTCAAATCTTTTACTAGAAAAGTGTCATTTTGGATGTTGTGACTGTTTTCTTTTGAAGGTAAGCAATGCTAAATATCAAGTAGCTTTATTGTTTATTTTGTGTCTATCTCTATTTGAACAGCGCTAGCATTGAGGGTAGAGCATACGTTGCAGGAAAACCTCTAGAACAAATCCGGTATTTGTGGTGCGAGTTAAATGAATAATGAATAATGTTATATAATCATCCCGTTTCACAGCTATAAATTTATTCCACATTGACCGATATAGGAGAATCCCACTCTTACCTAATTAGGTATGGCGCAAAAACTAGAGAACAGCGATTGCGGCGGAAACAAAAATTTTCCTGTAACCTTAGACAATCAAGTAATATCTCACAACTCTAAGCCGCCTTAACTTTTCAAGGCACATTAAAAAAATTAGGACCGTACTCAGGTCAAAATTAAATTTTTGAAACTTTACTAAACGCTCCGTTACAAATGACACGGTTTTCAATTTCTCTTTTTGAGAACTTTCTGAGAATTTTTAAACGAAATTTTGTTCGACACACACTGCAAAGTTTAGCCCGTTAACCTAATTAATTAATGTTTAATGGTATTTGATACCCTGTACTGTTCTTATCCTTGTAGAAAAACATCAATAACAAAATTATCAGCGTTTGAAGCTTATTTTGGTGGTAAAAATTCATTCCGTTTTTGTAAGGTAGTAAGAGAAAAAGTGTTTTCTTACAAAAATTTCATCAAAATAAGCTGGTGTCAAAATTATTTATTTCGTTCATTTGGCCACAAATTTGGTTGAAAGATATTTTTGATTTTCTCACGCGAACCTACGCGAATACGCTATTTTTGGATCATTAACCCCTTGGTACATAATTTTTAATTGTTTCACTTTTAGCTACGATATATCTGCACGTTGCCGGTGTGGGCGTAACTGCTGGCGCTCACAGATTATGGGCTCACAGGGCGTATAAGGCAAAATTACCAATGAGGATATTTTTGATGATTTGTCAGACGGCCGCATTTCAAAACCACATTTACGAATGGGTTCGAGACCATAGGGTGCATCACAAATTTACGGACACCGATGCCGATCCACACAATGCCAAGCGAGGTTTCTTCTTTTCCCATATTGGTTGGCTCATGTTGAAAAAGCATCCAGATGTTAAAATTAAAGGTCGAACAGTGGATATGAGCGATATGGAAGGCGACCAGGTCATTCAATTTCAAAAAAAGTGAGTAGTGTATTTTGCTTTCACAGACGCTACTCCTATTGGGATGACTGTTTTGCGTTTATTTGAGGTAAATGACGCAATGCTGTTGCAAAAATTTCGAATGTACATTTATGTGCAACCGCTAAGAATCCGACGCTGAAGAATGCTTAGGTATAACAACTTCACCCTCGCCATTGCTATCTATTGGAATAGACATTATGATTTTTTTAAGGGTGAAAAATCCACAATTAGTCTCAAATTTAATAAATCTTCCAATTTAATTATCAATAGGTACATATTTAATGGCCCCTTACATTACATGAGGTAAATACGGTTAGGTGTACCTCAAAAGCTCAACCTTGCTGAGTGTATTAACTAAATTTAAAATCCTTTGAATAAAAATAGGGTGGTTTTAATCGCGTATCCCGATAATCAACTCACGGAAAAAATTAATCCTCCAGCTGGGTTCAGATAGTAACTGGCCCAATCTTTAAGCGTTATTCCTTTCGTTATCAATCTAGATGAGAAAAAAATCGCGACACCCTTTAAATGGTTCCTTTCTATTTTGAATGTAACAAAAATTTTGACAGTATCTTATATATAGATTTATAGATGAGGTAATCTAATTTTAAAACGAGAAGATCACAGAAAAAAAACTTTATGGATCTCTGTTTAGGAAATTCCAAGTACAAATTAAAACTTATTCGCGATCGATTGGCTTTTTCAGGCCGTACGAAGAATCACCAGGATAACGTGGAAATGTGTCTATATTCTCCTTGCCCTTAACAGAATGGCTAGTTTTCCGCGGATTTTTTATTTGATTTCCAATTTCGAACTAACAGCCCCTTCACGAAGAATTTATACCACTTCAGTTCAAATAGTTTTAAATTCAATTTAACGCTTAAGAAATCCCTCGAAGCGAATTCTAGTTTTGTTTAATACTTGATAGTTTCGGAACCAATGTTTAACATGGTTAGTCATTATTAATTACTTTAAAAATAATGACTTATTCGTCTGGCGCTCGCGAACGTTTATTTTTCAACAACATTTTTATCTAAAAACATTGAGCTTATTTCGCACCAACCTCTTATAATCCCTTCACGATTACGCCTACGGCATGAAAAATGAGCCGATCAATTCAATTGATTGCCCGACAAAAATTTCCCCGTCTGACCCATATTGAAAGCTTCTAGCGAGGACATTCATCTCGCCTTCCAGACTACAGGTTGTTTCTTTCATGTGCCTTTAGATTTCAGACAATGCTGTTTTACCCACCCAACTTATTCTATACACCTATACTATACATTTAAAAATATCCATCATAAAAGCCAGGTACGCCAAAAATGAAACCTCCATTTATCACTTGCATTACCCAAATTTAAAAAGCGCGCGGCAAAAGTGAAATATAGGAACCAAACTTGAAAGAAACCACCTCAGAAACCATACAATCATTGCGAAATGATAATTGTGAAACAGGAAAAGGCGCTCCAACGTTAAGGTAATCCCTTTCCCTCTCCCTCTCCCTCTCCCTCTCCCTCTCCCTCTCCCTCTCCCTCCTCCCTCTCCCTCCTCCCTCTCCCTCTCCCTCTCCCTCTCCCTCTCCCTCCCTCTCCCTCTCCTCTTCCCTCTCCTCTCCCTCTCCCTCTCCCTCTCCCTCTCCCTCTCCTCTCCCTCTCCTTCTTCCCTCTCCCTCCCTCTCCCTCTCACTTCCCTTCCTCTCCCTCTCCCTCTCCTTCTCCCTCTCCACTCTCTCCCTCTCCCTCTCTCCCTCTCCCTCTCCCTCTCCCTCTCCTCTCCCTCTCCCTCTCGCTCTCCCTCTCCCTCATCCTCTCCCTCTCCCTCTCCCTCCTCTCCCTCTCCCTCTCCCTCTCCCTCTCCCTCTCCCTCTCCCTCTCCCTCCCTCTCCTCTCCCCTCTCACCCTCTCCCTCTCCTCTCCTCTCCCTCTCCCTCTCCCTCTCCCTCCCTCACTCTCTCCCCCTCCCTCTCCCTCTCCCCCGCCCCCTCCCCCTCCCTCTCCCTCTCAGTCAGGTCCGCCGTTTCGTTCATTTTCTTTGGAGTGTAAATTATTTTCATGTTTTGCGCCAGCGGGAATTCTCCCAGTTGGAGTTTTCACAGAGGAAAGCCACTGCAAAGGTTGGTGGTCAGTTGCCAAGGTAACCCCCGCGCCCTCTAGATACAATGTGCATTTTTCCACGGTCCACACTACTGCAAACGACTCTCGTTCGACAGTAGAATAGTTTTGTTCAGCGGAAGTTAATAGCTTGCTTGCATATTCTATGGGGTGCTCGTTATGGCTCTCCTCCTCCATTAGAACTGCTCCAAGAGCACAGGTGCACACGATTTATCTCTGTCCTCGCTGGCAACCGGCACCTGAGCCAGTACCCTGACTGTAAGTCTATTGTTGACATGTATGAGGTGCACTTGTGCAAATTGTACTAATTCGTCAAAACGGGGCATGGGATACGCGTTTAAGCGACGATAGTCGACACAAAGACGGAAAGTTCTATCCTTCTTTGGGAGCAACACGACGGGGTTGGTCCACGCGCACTCACACTCTTCTATAACACCTCGGGACAACAGATCGCCTAATTCCTTGCGTAGGAATTATTTCTTGGCTACACATAGAGAATACGGTGGTATGGCAATGGGTGCGTAATCATTGGATGACGATGCGGTGCACCGCGTACTCCTCGGAGTACTTCATCGGTTCTCCCTCTTCTCGAAAGACCTCTTCGTGTTCCCTTAGCAAAAATTCAATATATTCTCGTTGCCAAGATTCCAGATTTGGGCAGGAAGGCTGCAAACCCACTTTAGGTAGGTACGTCAGTGTTCTTATGTATACATATATCTCTTCCTCGTCGAAGTACTGAAAGGTAACATTCGGATCATTACAGAAATGCCAGCATTTATTTTTCTGGTTCGTCAACTCTGGTTGAATCATAAATTATGTGGTTATGCACCGATTCTAAAAGTGAACATCGACCCTGGTGGTCAAAAAAACCTCTTTTTTACTTTATGATTCCATCTATATTGAGTACTATGAAGAAGTACAATAAACTAAACAAATATAGAAAACGGAGATAAATAATATATCTCTCTTTATAAATAATCATTTTTAGATTTTTACAATGGATGTAGCTATATTTTGATTAGCAGTACATCCCGTATACTTTATGACACATGTGTATCTAAATTACAGCAAAAGGGAAATGGTTACCCGTTTTGCGAGACGAAAGTGAATTAATCGTTCTCTAGAAAAGAGGAAATGAAACTCTTTATTTATGTATACAACATAATAATATCGAAGGTGCATTAGTTCACTTAATATGTTTGTTTTATAGATATTACCCAGTTCTTGTACCTCTTCTGGCCTTCATCTTGCCAGCGTTCGTACCTTGGTATTTTTGGGGCGAAAATGGATGGGTATCATGGTATACTGCAGGGATTTTCAGATATTGTTTCTCATTAAATAGTACATGGCTTGTGAACAGCGCAGCCCATATATGGGGGACAAAACCATATGATAAGTAAGTTTCACGTTTGCTTTATACAGGGTGTTACATGACCACATGCAAAAAAAATTGGGTGATAGAGGGGATCAAGACAAACACTTTTCCAAATAAACCGATGGTCCAACGTGTTTCGTTTGGGAGCCACCCCCAAAGAAGTGGTGAAATTTGGATTCCTTCTTTAATTTTTTTCTCAGCAACCATAAGAGTTACAAAGATGGGTGGTCTTTGAATAGGTTTTCGGGTATGCCCTATCCGATTTTGACAAAAAATTTTTCAAAATTTCTACCCCGAAAGGGCGCACCCCTACTTGGGGATGCGAAAGAAAATTCAGATTTCGACAAAATTTGGTATCTGGGGGTTTTTGAAAATGAAAATGACGAATCTGAAATTAGTTTTTGAATATTCGAAAAAAAAAGTTCTACTGCAAGTCTTGGCCGGACAACGAAAATGGAGAGAATTCCACGAAATTTGTTGTGTACATACTTGATGAGTTAAAGGAACAAAATTGTCGAACAGTTTTTTAAAATAACTTTTCAATCAAAAGTTTTACTCATTTGAAGATTGGGCTTTCGGGTTACAAAGTGTCCCCCGCCTACTAGTGAGTGATCTAATTTTGCATATAGTTAATTGAAAATGTCGCAAATAACAAACAAATAACGATTTAAGTCGATATTATGATTAAATGATCACAAAAAATTCGATATGTCGATCTTGGTATTCAAGTCTGCAAATTCGATTCCAAAAATTCCGTGGCTGCGGGTGATGGGAAAATGCTTTTTAAGTAAAATTCTATTACAATCAATAAGCATTATTGCAAGTATCGTAATACCGACTTTTTTTTTCGAATTTTCAAAAACTAATTTCAGATTCGTCATTTTCATTTTCAAAAACCCCCAGATAACCAAATTTCGTCGAAATCAGAATTTTTTTTCGCACCCCCAAGTAGAGGTGCGCCCTTTCGGGGTAGAAATTTTGAAATTTTTTTTCAAAATCGGATAGAGCATACCCGAAAACCTATTCAAAGACGTGCCACCCATCTGTGTAACTCTTATGGTTGCTGAGAAAAAAATTAAAGAAGAAATCCAAATTTCACCACTTCTTTGGGGGTTGCTCCCAAACGAAACGCGTGGACCATCGGTTTATTTGGAAAAAGTGTTTGTCTTGATCCCCTCTATCACCCAATTTTTTTTAGCATGCGGTCACGTAACACCCTGTATAAGTAGTTTAAAGCGCACGTTAAGTAATATATCAATTAAGTATTCATTGTGTTTATTTCCAGAACAATCGGCCCCACACAAAATCTTGGAGTAGCTCTTACAGCGTTAGGAGAAGGTTGGCATAACTACCATCACGTATTTCCATGGGATTATAAAGCGGCCGAATTGGGCAACTATCGTATGAACTTCACGACTTTCGTAATTGACTGTTTTTCAAAAATTGGATGGGCCTACGATTTAAAAACGGCATCAATCGAAATGATTGAGAAACGTGCTAAGCGTACGGGTGACGGATCAAGAGCTTCAAGCAATGGGGATGGTGAGATAACTAACGACCATAGCCATCACCATGACGATACGATTTGGGGCTGGGGAGATATGGATATGAAGCTGGAGGACGTTCAACATGTAAAAGTTTATAACCGATTGAAGGAAACTTAGTGTAATAAGAAATTAAATTCTAAATTCGTAAATTATTAAAGTGTAACATTTGCAGTTAGGTGTTGGATAGTTTGAATTTCGATGTTTATTTATTAAAAATAATGACTGATAGCACCAACGTGTGCCTAAATGTGTATTTGAATGCTAGCATACTAGACCGTACACACTGTTTCACAATAATTATTGATAGATTATCTCTACTGTACAAAGCTAATCATTTGTTTCTATATAACCAAAGAATTAATAATATACTGACCAAACTGACCCCAAATTTGAAATCAATGTTACTGTAATTTTTTATTGTATTACAAAGGCTGTAGAATCAATAAATGAATTTTGTACAAAATAAATAGGACAGCCAAGCGATTTTATGTGTGTTGACGACTTGAGGTTTAACACCCTTTGTATAATTCGATGGGCGATTAAGGCATATAGGAGCCGTAGATTTTTCTTGCATTTTATTCAAGCGACATTCTACTCTCTTAACTTGGTAGGAGAGTAAATTGTTTCCGTAGCAATATACACATTATTCAACGCGTGCATTCCTAGGGAGGCCGAGGCAAGCAGTGGAGTTTACGATAATTTCTTCCATCAACAGCCCCCCGCCTACACCAAATTCATAAATGCAGGAATAAGATTTAATTTTCACAAAAGTGTACTGCAAATTAATTCCCATGGTGACTAAGCTTTAGAGCGAAAATTAGGTTCAATTTACCGTCAATTTAAGTACATAGTCTCGTTTAATTAACTTTTACGGTTATTTTATTAAATTTCTTTCAATTATACTTTTCTAGGGCATTCTTTATCGTGTATCGTCCTTTAAAGGATTTTCAATTAAACTAGATTTAGTTTATGTTGCTTTTCCATAGTTCATTTGTTTTTTATTAGACACATTTTGACTTATAAACGTTTAATTATAATACGCTACTCTGTAGTCGAAATAGGATTTATTAGTTTGGGGAGATTAGCACGCCATCGTTTAGCGCCGGTTTTATAAAAGTCGGTTGACCCGTGTTACTCTATGGCCGTGATCAAGAACGTAATATTCATAACTCCTATACCTTTAGGTACCTTTAAATTGAGTAATTCTTCCCTCCGACAAGCTCTCGTAATTTATATTATTAAAATCACCTGAAAACAAAAAATAACTAAACTTATGTGACAAAAAACTCTTACTTTTTACATTAATCCTCGTCATTTGCTGTAAGAAATTACGTAAGGTTAGGCAAGACAGGAGGTTCTGCGTCTTCAGTTTTCAAACTAAACGATGCAAGAGTAACTCAATAGTACGAACCTAATGCGATAATTGCGAGAATTTACGATGTTCCGTAGCTGATGATATCTCAATAGACTTATAAAAGCACCCCTTTGAACGAAATTCCTAAAATATGGACTTCCGCAATGGTTTCTAGCTTTCAAACTAAGCGATGCAGGAATACCACGATTGTACGCATATAATGCTGAAAACCTGAAAATTCTACGATATTCCTTTGGATCGAGAGATCTCGAACAGGCGACAATTAGTGAAACAATTAGATCCTATTTAAGAATCAAAAATGTGGTCTGTCGTTCTAAAAATGTTAGCGACGTCTGGGATAGGCTCGTGGCAATGTTGAACGAAAAGTCTTTTCGTTCAACATTGCCACGAGCCTATTCCGGAAGTCGCTCGCATCTTAAAAAAAACATAGATTGTAAATTGACACAAGGTGTGCTATGACCGGCAATCTTTCTTGGCGAGTTATACTTATAGGTTGTTCCCACATGACAAAATTGTGCAACATTAGCGTTTAATAAACGTTTAATGGTGACTTGTAACGTTAGCGTATAAGTACCATTAACTTACTATTAACGTCACCGCGACTGCTAATGTCCGCCTTCAAGAACGTGTCTCTGTAACGTCTAAATACCTACGTTTAGCAAACGTTACATCATATAACACTTTATAACATCAGCATTTAACGTTAATTGAACGTTTGAAACAAACGCCAATGCGATGTAACTCTCTTATGTTGTATAAACGTGGTACAAAAATGTTTATTAAACAATACTAAATTACGTTTTTCTCCAACCACCTGAATAAGACGCTATTTTGTGACAGTGTTCGGTACCTAAAATTGACGTTTTGCGGATTAATCGCTTTCACCATGGCAACTGTACAAAAAGTGGATACTTTTGGTCCTAGTACCAAAAAGAAATTGACCTTGAAAGTTGGCCAATTAAAAAATTACAATCACGGAGATATGTCACATTGACATCGTTTTACATTGCAGGTTGTAAGATATTTCTATACATACAAATCAAATATTTTTGCATATTCAATGCAAATAATGATGTTACCTATACGTATGTACATGTATTGAAAATGATTTACGCTCGCTATTTTTATTTAAACCATGTGTAACGTAATTTACATATTCCGTGTACGTATACAACCCGCCGTCGCGCGTAACGCCATCTACTTCAGACCCATTGCACTATTATCTGTCATTTTGAATTCAAAATTTGAAAAAGTTAATTGCAATTAATTTTAATTAAAAAACTGTATGGTAAGTTTTTTATTTCAATACAAAATATAACAATATTAATTGTGTATACAATCAAATGACTGAAACTGATAGCGACATGGATTGCACTCCGCCAGAGATTATAGAAACGGTAGAACATGCTACCTCAAGATTTGCTCCCTACAAAGTAGCGAGAGGTGAGAAGTAAGAGGTAAAAACGCATAGGTTATAAGTTAACCTAAAAACTAGAGTGGCATGACACGTGAGGACAAGAAAGCAGAAGTTCTTATACTATAGTAGTGAAACTGTAACTGAATCTAAATTCGAATATAATTTGAAGTAAAGGGGGTTGGAGAAAAAATTTTATGTTTTATTCGTACAAAAAATGCGTTTTCGGGACTCGTCTCGAAAACTGACATTTTTTGTACTAATGAAACAAATAACTATTATATCATCCTTATACATTGACGGTCGGTATTATTAAAGTTATATTTACTATGTTGTAAGCTAACAGTGTTGTTAAGGAATGTCTTAACAACACCGTTAGCTGACAACAAAGTTAAGTCTGGTTTTATAATACCGGCCGTCAATGTACAAGGATGACATAAACGTAATTTAGTATTGTCACAGATGTGTACTTTAATAAACATTTTTGCACTTTGATACTAAAGTGCACAATGTAAAAAAATTCAAATTCAAAATAATTCAAATAATTTTTTACCAGAAATTTAATGTATAAAAAATTCATTTCATTCACATCAATCACTTCACAAAATTGTTAAAAATGTCCCACCATTATAAAGAATGCACAGTTACACATTATATTTTCATATAATCGAAAACTCATTCTAACATTACTGGTGTAATGTTTTTTTAACCTTGCTTGTCAAGTGGGTTATTACAAACTTGCTGATGCAACCAATGTGTTTTTAATATTGTTTATTTTCTGCACATTCAATTGTTTGATATGAAAGTTATATATCACAACAGAACAATCGAACAAAAACAAAACTTATGAAGCTTATTGGTTAGCCGTGGCGCTACAGTATTGCTTTTGTTACCAATTCTTTCGAAGCGTTATTATTCAACAGCCATGTTTTTTTAATTAAACAGCAAAGTTTTCTTTTAGATTTCTTTGTCAATTTGCAGTCGCTAGAAAAATGCCCAAATTCATTGAAATTGTAGCATCTCACCTTGGGTCTGCTTTTTAGTGTCTTCTTTTGCATCGTTTTAGCAGCCAATGCAACTTCAGATTCATTTTCTGCCGGTCCAACATACATACCATTGAGTATTTTTAGCGCATTTTTTAAGAATTAAATGGCACTCTAATGAAAGGTCACAACGAAAGGAATTAATTTCTACCAACCATAGCCCTCCTCGACCTCTTATCGTGATCGGGTATATTCCCTTATACCTCAAGAGGAAGAGGGTACTCACAAAGGGCGATTGAGACGTCTGCAAGAAATATATCCATTGGTGCTGTTAAAACAAAAGCTATTTCGGTTTAAAAAAATGCGCTTTTGCACAATTTATAGTTGTTTTACTTTGATTGTAGTTGCAGAAAAAATGATGTGTAAAATTTGATAAGAAAGTGTTTTTCAACTCTCGTTCAATTGACACACTCGCTATGCTTGAAAAACTCCACTTTCTTATGTAGTTGTACATATAACTATTTCCTATCACTTCAGTTTTAATCCTAACCGGAACCGAAAATAACGGATCCGATGTCACATTATCTGTGGAGTGTAGGTAGGGTTTAGACCGCTTTCACACGGGGATACTGTATCCCAGATACAGTCTTCGGAATTTATGTCCAATACACTTTGGGCATTCTAAACTTCTCTTTCGCAGTGCAATACTTTTTCAGCGATGCAGTGGCGGGCTAATGAAAAAATCTCCTCGTGTAAACAATTACAATGAACCAATAGTCCATCAGTTCTTCCCCAAAATAGCAAAATCGCCGGGCGACTGGTGCTCAGGGCCGTATCTAGGCGGTGGAGAGATGGGGGCGGGCGCAGCTACCGGCGAGGCGCAAAATTGGCATTGAAAAAATGTCTTTTTACATTAGTGTATTAGGAAAAAAATTCAGGTTATTTAAACAAATGTTATTCGAGATTGTTAATACTATACGTACTGTGACTGTGAATAACTGGGTCGTTACAAAGTGATATATTACCTTCATCTCTGCCCTTCCCCCCCTTTTGCCTCCTTATGGTAATGTAATATATACAGCGTGTGCAATATAAGAAGGAAAAGCAAGCAAGTCAAATGATATATTCGGTTTTATTTTTTGGCGGCCCTGTTTGAAAAGATATCAAAAAACAAATAACACTTCCTCATAGGAACTTTTTAAGCTGTACAATTGGCGTCTTTGAGAATCCATCAACAACAATGTATAGCACAATAAGATTCTTTATCACCTATATCAGTAAAATGTTAAAAATTATTTATTATTTAGCTCAGAAAAATTGCTTGTTACTAAATTTTTAACATTTTGGTTTAGTAGGCGTTGACAAAATGTCAAAACAATTTGTTCTTCTAAATGATAAATTGTAATATACATAATCGTATTCGTAATAAAAAATGCTACTCAATACATTACGTACTTTTTTCCGGTCCATATAAAAATATGAAGTTGATGATGGTTTCTCAAACATGAAACGACGCAGCGAAAATCTTGTAAAATGGTGAGCTTAAAAAGTTACTTTCGGTTTTTTTTAATATCTTCGGAACTGATCGGAATTTCCGCATTTTTAAATCCCTAAAATTAAGCCCTAAAATGCGCAACTTTTCTAATTTAACCAACTGTATACTTCTTATGGTTTCCGATGTGTCCATGATGCTCATTCTCATCTTGGACAC